GACTGTTAGAAGTAAAAGGAAGGAATGTAAAGTTGGTTTATTTGATCAAGGTTAAAACAAGATATGTTGTTAATTCTGGCAACCTTTTACAGACTTTCTGCTGATGCCAGGACTGAAAAAATGTTTTATGGGTTTGTTTATGGGATATGAGATGAAGAGATAAGTATTAGTAACCTTAGAGGGGGTGAGGAGTCACTAAATTTGTTTATACTTGTTGTGAGGAAGGTTGGAAATCAATTTATATTTTTTCTTCTCTTTCCTTTTCCTTGCACTTTTTACTCCTTTCTATTCTTTCTTTACATTTAGTTTATATTAGATTTTACTATAATAATCAAAATCCTTAATAAAAATGATATGTATATGTATGTATATAAAAAAAGGAATCCTAGCAATGTTCGAACCATTCTGATTGGAGTGAGGTGGTGCATAAACTGCTCCAAAGAAGAGGAACAGTGACAGAAAGCTGATCCTGTGGACCCTAGTGGCCCGAGTCCTGAGGGATTGGGATCTGGAGTTAGCCCTCTCTTCCAAATCTTATCAGGCACATAAACCCCACTTGCTATCTGTAGTATTTGTCTATTCTTGTTGATTAATTCTTCTTTTCTTTTGAGTTCCAGCAACACAATGAACTATGAAGGATGTACGCTGGCTAGTTTGCACAACGCATTAAACTTAAACCCAGTTGACCAGGTTGTGGCTCAATGTATTGTGTACTCACACTCACTGTTGTGTGCTTGGTTTAGCCCTGATTACACTTTATATTTAAGTGGCAGGCCAGTGGCTGTACTTCAAAAGTAAGAGCCAGAACAAAGAGGTGGGGCAGATAGAAAACTATATTTGATTTGATTTACATTTAAATGTAAGAAATAAATTCAATATAGGTGGCATGATTATTCCCCATCTATTTAATAATTTTCCCTTCTATTATATCAGACATTATCAGTTGGTGGCAATATTTGAGTGGGGTGCATGTACTCTGGCACCTCAGGTTGTGGATGTCTGGTTTAGCTTGTTTTGAGCCCAGTCATTATGGGCTGTAAACCATGATTTATGGCTTGAGCTTCTTGAAGAAATATAAATGTTATGTATCACCTGATCTTACACTTTCCAGAAATGTTAGACTACAGCTTCAATAATTCCTTGCCAGCATTACCAAATAAAGATGGCAGTCTTAATGGAAAAGAAAATGGTACTGTGTTCACATATCACGCTAAGCCAAGGTGTGACATTTCTGGAAAGTGTAAGATCAGGTGATACATAACATTTATATTTCTTCAAGAAGCTCAAGCCATAAATCATGGTTTACAGCATGTTAGACTACAGCTTCAATAATTCCTTGCCAGCATTACCAAATAAAGATGGCAGTCTTAATGGAAAAGAAAATGGTACTGTGTTCACATATCACGCTAAGCCAAGGTGTGACATTTCTGGAAAGTGTAAGATCAGGTGATACATAACATTTATATTTCTTCAAGAAGCTCAAGCCATAAATCATGGTTTACAGCATGTTAGACTACAGCTTCAATAATTCCTTGCCAGCATTACCAAATAAAGATGGCAGTCTTA